TTTCTTGGTAAATTAACCACTTTTCTGGTAAAACTTGCAAATGAAATGCAAAAAGTACTGCTAAAGACTCGAGTATTTGAGCTAAGAGTTTAGACTCAGCAGGTGTGTAGGGATATAAAAACTGAGTCTATCGGTGCTTTTAAATACTTCATCCGATGGACAGTTTTCTAGAAAATCGAAGACAAAGTTGAAACTTCGATCGTCTTTTGTACTATTATGGAGTCAGGTTTTTTCATTAAACTTCATTTAATTGATGTAACATTTGATGATAAACCAGAAAATGCACTTATTTTGCGGAATAAAACTTTTTTTTCTGTTAAACAAATAAGTTCGATTTTAAGTGAAATTGACCGCATTCTGGAATCGAAAGAGTTAGAGAGTTGAAACTTACTATCAGAAAATATAAATTGTAGTTCCACATAATAGATTGACTACTTTTTTCAATTTATAAACTGTTCTCTTGATTTTGGCCTGTAATCTTAAAACTTTGAACTTCGATATTTCAAGTATGGCAGTACCAACAGTTTTCATTACTTGACCAAACATTATATTTTATAATGGGCTATAAGTTATTGAAATTTTAGATCATTCAAAATAATACAAAGTTATTTATAGCATTGTATAACTTGATTCATTAATATAAAGTTAAATGGTAACTCAAAGACAAATCTAGTGATGTGTTAAACGAATATTCATTGTTAGATGCATTAGTTTAAATTTTATTAGTTATTTAGTCACATTATACATGTATTATAGCGCAAAATGAAATCTAGAGCTTTGCCAAAGAATGATCATTGTAGGTGATGCCATTCTCGAAATAATGAGACTTGAAGTTTCTAATTTTTAGGCCAAAATAAAGAGAATTACCGATAAATTGAAAAAAGTTTTCGACCTTTGATGTGCTATAACAATTTTTATCGACTAACAAAAAGTTTCAGCTCTCTAACTCTTTCGATTCCAGAATGCGGTCAATTTTACTTAAAATCGAACTTATTTGTTTTACAGAATCCATAGAATTTTATTTCGCGAAATAAGTGCATTTTATGGCTCATTATCAAAATTTAAATCAATTAAATGAAGTTTCATGAATAGAACTGACTCCATAATTGTAGAAAAGACGATCGAGGTTTCAACTTTGTCTTCGATTTTCTAGAAAACTGTTCATCGGAATAATTATTTGAAAGCACCGATAGACTCTGTTTGCGTGTCCCTACAAACCCACTGAGTCTCAACTCTTAGCTCAAATACTCGAGTCTTTAGCAGCACCTTGTTTAACATCAAACTTTGTTTAACCAGAAAAGTGGTTTATTTACCAAGAAATGGGTTGAGATGAGTTTTGTCTGTTGAATTAGTTGTTGCTTGTACACGCTTTAAAACCCAAACATCATAATCCAAACGCACTAATGGCGATTTATTAAATTGTATTTAATTATTAATTAGTGAAGAATTAAATTGGAACAAGAATGAGGACTGTAGGTACTACCATACTCGAAATATCGAAGTTCAAAGTTTATAGGTAAATGGCCAAAATCGACAGAACTATTGATGTATTTAAAAAAGTATTTAGCCTACGATGTTTACCGACAACTTTTGTCGACTAGGTATAAGTTTCAGCTCTCTAACTTTTATGGTCACAGAATGCAGTCGGTTTGAAAGAAAATCGAACTAATCTGTTCTACCGAAAAAGAAAAGTTTTATTTCGCAAAATAAGTACATTTTCTGGTTCATTATCAAATGTTACATTAATTAAATGAAGTTTCATTAAAAATACCGACTCCATAATCGTACAAAAGTCGGTCGAAGTTTAAACTTTGACTTCGATTTTCTAGAAAACTATTCATCTAATGAGTTATTTAAAAGCATCAATAGACTCAGTTTGCATGTCCCTACAAACCCACCAATTCTCAACTCATAGCTCAAATGTTTGAGCCTTTAGCAGCACTTTGTTTAACCAGAAAAGTGGTTTATTTACAAGAAATGGGACAAGATGAGTTTTGTTGTTAAATAATTTGTTGCTTGTGCATTTACAACCCAAAGATCATAATTCGAATGCGCTAATCAAAAGTTATTAAATTGCATTTAATTATTAATTGTGTTAGTTAAAGAATGGTGACTGTAGATGCTACCACACTCGAAATATTGAGGCTCAAGGTTTTTAGGTAAATGCCAAAATCAAGAGAACAGTTGCCTGAGCTTGGGTGTTTGAAAACCCGAAAAGTTTCATTTTCAAAATTCATTTTGTTAAGCAAAACATAAAAATTCTCAATGATTTATTATTGCTTTGACTCCTCATGGTTGTTGGAATGATCATTAAATATCTAGAATTACATAGTTGTTAATAAGTTACAATGACTTTTCAAATTATTGAATAATTAAACTAATTGGCTAATGTAACTTTTGATGATGAACCAGAAAATGCACTTATTTGAAGAAATAGGACTTTCCTTATTCTGTAAAACAGATTAGTTCGATTTTCTTTTAAACCGACAGCATTCTGTGACAATAAAAGTTGGATCGCTGATACTTATTCTTAGTCGATAAAAGTTGTAGTTACACAGAGTGGGTTAAATACTTGTTTCAATTTATTAATAGTTCTGTTGATTTTGACCATTTACCTAAAAAATTTGAACTTCGATATTTCGAGTATGTTAGTACCTGCAGTCCTCATTTTTTCACTAATTTAATCCTTTACTTATTAAGTATTCAATACAATTTAATAAATTTCACTTGATTGATTGAGATATTTGGGTCATAAAGAGACGAGCAGCAACTTATTCAGCAAAGTGAACACATTTTAACCCATTTCTTGGTTAATAAACCACTTTTCTGGTTTAACTTGCAAATGAAATGCAAAAACTAACACCAAAAGCTCGAACATTGGAGCTAAGAATTGATACTTGGTGGGTTTGTAGGGCTATAGAAACTGAGTCTATTGGTCCTATTAAATACTTCATCCGATGGACAGTTTTCTCTAAAATCGAAGTCAAAGTTGAAAGTTCTTCCGCCTTTTGTACGATTATGGAGTCAGTTTTTTTCATGAAACTTCATTCGATTGATGTAACTTTGCATGCTTAATCAGAAAATGTACTTATTTTGCGAAATAACATTTTAAGTTTTCTGTCAAAGAGTTAGGTTCGATTTTAAGTAAAACCGGCTGAATTCTGTGATCATAAAAGTTAGAGAATTGAAACTTATTATTAGTCGACAAAAGTTGTTGGTACACATTGTGGGTTAAATACTTGTTTCAATTTATCAATATTTCTCTTGATTTTGGCCTAAAACTCAAAAACTTTGAACTTCGATATTGCGAGTATGGTAATATCTAAAGTCCTCATTCTTAGAC